CTCTTCACATTGCAGCGCCTCATACGACAGAGCCAAAAGGCTCGTCCGACTTTTAAAACTAATTTTGTCCTAACGATGGCTGGAGGTGTTTAGCACTTCGTCACACCCATCAGGACGGTTACAATACTGTGGGACACGATCCGGGGGACTTGGAGACTCGAACCCACGAACACCGGATCCTATCACCAATAAGGGAGGTAATGCTCTGTGAATATCCCGAACCAGATAATGCGAATATTGCCATTTCCACTGAAGACGTGCAGTTTTAATGTTTATGTAAATGAGTGAGTGATTAGGTGGGTGAGTGAGTCAGACTCAATGTTTATGTGAGTGAGTGAGTGATTAGGTGGGTGAGTGAGTCAGACTCAATGTTTATGTGAGTGAGTGAGTGATTGGGTGGGTGAGTGAGTGAGTCAGACTCAATGTTTATGTGTGTGAGTGAGTATTGCGTTGTGTTAAAGTGAAGCAAGGGAAGCCGTAGGAGTGAGTGGGTTTTAGTTTTACGCCGCTTTCAGCAATATTTCAGCAATATCACGGCGGGGGACACAAGAAATGGGCTTCAAACATAGTACCGTTGCAGCCCCTGGAATCTCTAACAAAATGGAGGTCTCAGACGGTCAATTGTTTGGCAAAAACACTTAAAGGTCGAAGGTGCTGCTAAACTATCATAACCAAGGTAAAATTCGAACCAATGAGGGGCGGTGGGGTAGCCTAGTGGTTAAAGCGTTCGCTCGTTACGCCGAAGACCCGGGTTCGATTCCCCACATGGGTACAATGTGTGAAGCCCATTTCTGGTGTCCACCGGCGTGATATTGCTGGAATATTGCTAAAAGCGGCGTAAAACTAAATTCCCTCACTCACTCGTACCAATGACCAATGATGAAATTGGTCAAACCAGGACAAAGTTGAACTTCAGCAAACCATGCTCCCTTTTCCCGAGTACGGGATGCTCAGGCTCACTGAGATGTTTGATGCATGGACCTGTATGTCAAATACGTACATTGATGTTCATGTCAATCACAGGATTTTCTGGTCCATACTCGAATATTTACAGACTGCCGTCATACGGGTGTAATGCTACGGCTTTGACGGGGGCGTTAAACAACGAATAAATAAACAAGCATCACAATGATCTGATGACTTCTGGAACGTACAGTGGGTGCAAGTCAGTATTGATGCTGTAATGAGTTTGTGTTTGTTTCTTTGTTGTTTTACGCCGCACTCAGCAATATTCCAGCTACATGGCGGCGGTCTGTAAATAATCCAGCCTGTACCAGACAATCCAGTGATCAACAACCTGAGCATCAATCTACCCAATTGGGATACCGATCACATGTGTCAACCAAGTCAACGAGCCTGACTACCCGATCCCGTTAGTTGCCTCTTACGACAAGCATGGGTTGCTGTAGACCAATTCTAACCCGGATCTTCACAGGTCAGAGAGAACAACGTGAGTTAGCTTAGTTTTACGTCGCTTTTTAGCAATATTCCAGCAATATCACGACGGGGGACACCAGAAATGGGCTTCACACATTGTACCCATGTGGGGAATCAAACCCGGGTTTTCGGCGTGACTAGCTAACGCTTTAACTACTAGGCTATCCCGACCACCCTGAACTGGATGAGATGTATGAGAACAGCGTTTCAAGGCAGGCAGTCTAAGTGTTTCCAAACTTCAGCATTAGGATCTCATCGGGTTAAGCTCTTTCACCATTGCACGCTGTTGAACCCCGGTTCAGAACAGAAGGTGTTACCAAACACAAACATGGAAGTCTTGACCCATTCCACGAACCATCTTTGGGAATTATTATGATGATGTATTACGATAAAATAGACAAATGTAAGTCTAATGATAAATAGACAAGCACGGGTTACTGAAGATCAATATTCTAACCCGGACCTTCACGGGTTCTTGAAGACCCGACACCGTCTGTTAAGTCTAATATTGCTATTTGTATCAACAATCTAATGTTTTCTGAAACACATTATATATGTTGGCGGGAGGCAATGTCCACGTGCAGAGCCACGTGATCAGAATATGCTACTGATGAAAAACAGGATGGCGTCTGATTACATGTGTATTCCGACTCGTCTCTTAATGAGGTTGATAAGGACAGATAACCTAAAGACATTGAAATGACTATTTTTGTCATTTTGAAAATGTTATCGAGCGAAATTAGAAGGATATATGACATAATAATGATCTGATGAGTACAGCAGTAGAGGACGACCGTAGGCGTCAATACTGGACAAACACACTTCTCTCAGGTGTTCTGCAGACTTGAAATAGAAACGATATAGAGCGAGTGAGTTTAGTTTTACGCCACACTTAGCAATATTCCAGCTATATAACTGCGGTCTGTAAATAACCGAGTCTGGACCAGACAATCCAGAGATCAACAGCATGAGCATCGATCTAGCCAATTGGGATACAATGACATGTGTCAACCAAGTCAGCGAGCCTGACCACCCGATCACGTTAGTCTCCTCTAACGACAAGCATGGGGTGCTGTAAAGATCAACTCTAACCCGGATCTTCACGGGTCCAACGATATGGACTATATCAGGTATTTGAGAACATGGTGGCACGGGGGCACGGGGCACAGTTTCCTTATAAGGTGTATCAATGATCTGTGGAGTTGCGTCCCTTTTGTATGAGGATCCTGTGATCACTGGTTCGAATGCTCGGTTGGATCTGATATTGTTTTCTTTTGTTTGTCTCCACAATGACCGTTTCTAGTGGGTAAAAATGGAGGTAAAAATCCGAGACAAGCATCACTCCGGGATTTTCTCCCTGGATAAGGACCATATGTCGTAATAAACCAGGAATACTGTACAGAAAACCAAACACACGCACACACGCACCCGCGGACGGACTCATGATCTCACACGTTTATCCTGATGGTAGAATTTTCATCAAATCGTATCCATAAACAAAGTAGCACGTGAATAGTCGGGTTTAATTGATCTTCGGCAACTCATGCTTGTGGTAAGAGGCGACTAACGGGATCGGGTGGTCAGGCTCGTTGACTTTGTTGAAACATGTCATCGTATCCCAGTTGCGTAAATCGATGCTCATGTTGTTGATCACTGGATTGTCTGGTCCAGACTCGATTATTTACCGACCGCCTCCTTACAGCTTGAATATTGCAGAGTGCGGTGTTAAACAACAAACAAACAAACAAACAAACAAACAATGCAACCAAACAAACTATAAACAAATGCACGGATTAACGACTCATGGTCGTCATGTAACGTCAGCATGTAAAGCGGTAAGATTTGCAGCATCAAATCACATGGTAGGTGAGGTTCCATGTGAAACCAAAATTACTTGTCTAAAAAGTCAATTTCACGTTTTCAACATTATATGTGTTTTCTGTTGAAGCATCTGCAATATTAGGCCTAAAACCACACCCACTCCAACGACTCGCGTATGTGTACCTTTCACAATTCATTTAAATCCACGAATTTGACCTGTCTACAGTAATGTGAGAAATATCTTTCGTGCAATTATGGTAAAATATAACATATTTTTCTGTGGTATGGTATTTAAGTATTAACAGAACGAGATAACGAAGTCTTCGGACAGATGCTATTACGACCTTACCTGTCCAGTCTTGGTTTATTCAACAAGGGACATAGGCCATTAGCCCATGGCACAGCAGTTGTACAGCAGCCACAATACCTATTGCCTACATTACATATTTGTCCTAAATTGCATAGACTTCTCAACATACATGACCAGCTTTCTTATAAGAACACTGTTAACACCGGACATTACAAGATTAAATTTAGCTAATGTTTGAAATATATAGTATTTCCTTGGAATACGCCTGGCATACAAAGAAGTGGTACTCATCTTCTTAGTTCATTTTACAACACATCACAAAATCATCACTTTCTTGGGACATTTGAATATCTACCCATCTCAATTCTCAGTTGGTGAGAACTACAGCTAAACTTAGCTAAAGCGTCACGAGATTTCTGAATATGCTTAATATTATGCAGTGGGATATAAGTTAGACTTGTACATAGAATAATTATATGTTTTAGAACCTTGTGATAAAGATGCATGATAAACTTGCTGATACATGCATTTAGCTCTGTCCATAAATTCCGATAACAACGACTGAATATTACTAATGCACTGGTTATCCCAAACATAACCAAATCCCATTTTAAATAACACATTTCTCAATTGTGAAGCCCAATTACATTTAGCATGACTCATATCTAACATTAACATGTTATAACATCATTTATATCGTACCCTAAACCCATTAGCTTAACAACTTCATGAATTAAATTTATAGTCTTGTTTAGTAATATAGTCACACCCTTTGTGTCGAACTTTGATAAGTCGTATTTTCGGTTGTCTCGAAATAACTTGGTACCTTCCTATTCTGACTTTATTCATAGATTTTTCAACTGTGTCGAAATTAGGATATCATTTACCTAGGGCCTTTCAACTTCGACACAACGGTGTTTAATGTTCGAGATGGAATGTTCGAGATGGAATGTTCGAGATGGCGATGAAGAGAATGGAAAGGAGGGAGGGAGCAGGGGAAGGTGACGGATGGGTAAGAGCTGCAACATCGCCGACATATGTAGTGGTGCGCTCGCACTTTAATCGATTAGACGACCCGGGTCACGCCTCAGTGACCGTTGTCGGGTATCGACCGCCCTGTGACTACCCCTAGATGTTCAACGCCATGGTATGGAGCACAGGGATAATGTCAGCAGGCATAATTAGCTCGGGGTCATCAAAGCAATCAATACGGGCTGTATGAAACTGATGGCAGTTCATACTTAGCGGCACTCCTCCTTCATAATCTTCAACATTACTCGCTCTCACTGCATCCTCTAACGAGGCCTAAACGACCCGCACCCGACACTAGCTCTTATTGGAAAACGCATAAATTTTTAATTAAATGAGTGTAATCCGTTTTAGGTTTCATTCCCAGCCGGCAGGTGGCGCTCAGTGATGTGTTTACATAAACGTGTTTCAGCGGTCGACGGAGATGAAGCCCTGATGATATTTTTGACCACTGTCCAATAACGTCGCCCACAGTGACCTAATACCTGAAGTAAAGCTGGGGAGGAAATGTATTGGTGAATGCCATGTTCGTAATGCTGAATATCGATCGGTCCGCCTCGTACAGCGTTCTGATTAGCGGAGGCTGCACTGGCGTTGCCATGGAGATGATGTCATCGTCTGCATTATGTTTATTGATTATTCCAGCGAGAAGACAAAGCTGATGAATGATGGTGGCACTGCTTGAGCGTATCTAGGCCGCCATTTTCAGACCAGTCGCTGTGAACGTCGGAATTGCCACTTGTTCGAGTGGTCGGAGACACAGGAGGGTTTTATAAACAGTTCCTCTAAACAGAGTGATCAACCCAACGGTGTCGGAACCACCATCTTTCCAGTGCCCTGTTTCTATCGTGTCCGTGATCAGGAATTACATTAACGATGGGAACGGTGTTGTCGTTTTCTCCCCGACCCCGGAAACCTCTGTACGAAGACATCAACCTCAACAACTTCAACTATGAGGTTCTCCACAACGTCAAGAACCAAGCGAAAGACAAGGAGAAAGAAAAGGAGAAGAACCTGAAACGCCATTCCATCTTCCTCAGTGCCCTCAGCTGGAAGAAGTTCACCGTGAATAGCAAGAAGAAGGAGAAAGGTCTTATCAAACTCTCCAACACAACGTTCCTTGCCAGTAAGTTTGACAATAACTGTAACATTGAGAATGTTAATATCAACAAAAACATCCAGAAATCCATATCTTGCTATAACCTTAAAACCGGAATCGATGAAAGTCAATCTCAGCATTCTAACCTTGTTAAGAAAGTGGAAAAATGTCTCAGCCCAAAGCGAACCGTGATTCAAGCCTCCACGTCAGAACTGTTGAAATGTCTAGGAGAATATTTGAAGAAGAAGTGTAAAAAATTACGTCATTTTGAGGCAAGTGATGTAATTATGTGGCTCCGAAGCGTTGACAGGTCTCTCCTTCTACAAGGATGGCAGGACGTCGCGTTCATCAACCCGGCGAATGTTGTGTTTGTGTATTTGCTTATACGAGATATGGTCACCAGTGATACGGAGTCTGAACATGATCTACAGGCCACTGTTCTCACGTGTCTATACCTTTCCTATTCATACATGGGTAACGAGATCAGCTACCCTCTCAAACCATTCCTAGTGGAAGATGACAAGGACAGATTCTGGGACCGATCCCTTGTCATAGTAAACAGGCTTAGTCCGAGTATGCTACGGATTAACAGAGACCCAAGCTTCTTTACAGAGATTTTCACAGAACTTAAGTCATACTCCCCTTGCATATGACAGACTTGATCGACTGTAAACAAACAAGATCGATAACCTGAAACGGACAGTATGCCGACCTGGTCTATGTAACATAGCTAGGGAAAGGCTTGGTTTGTCTTGTGAGATTCAAGAACAACCTAAATGTGATACAGACTACACATAAGACTTTAGGGGAAAATGTGTCCCTTTTTCGGAAATGCAACCGCCTCTGGATGCCGCAAGGCCTCATTTTTCCAAAGATACATATCTGGTTATTACTGGACCCAGCCCACAGGAATATTTCCTTCACCAACATAGCGTTCGTTCTTGTTTGTATAGTGACTATGTGGACTCTCGAAACGATAACAACCAGATTCTCCAGAAATGATTCCATAAATTGGGCCAGTGGCACACGCCTGTTTAGTCGTAGTCAGGTTCGAAATACAAGTCTGCCTGCGAGATGCTGATAATATTGGGTAACACAATGGCGGACGTGTAGCAGACGATTTGACTTACTCGACGCTTCCAAACAATATACTGTGAATATATTTTATTTTACTGTGTGGATATCCCGAAATCCAAGACCGTGCTTACTTCGAGATAGCATAACGCTTCCGGAGCAGACGACAGCTGGCTCGAAGTCAAGACAAGTGGACATTTTCAGATCATGTGAGCACAAAACGACAATGTTATCTCTGATAATGTCCCAATAACGGGGAGTACAATATTTCATATGAAACAAATCCATGAAACCTCTGAGCTTGGAACCTTGTGTTAGTCACGTGATAGTATACGTGCAGTCATATGTTCAAGGTTGACGGAGAAATCAATATGCCAGTATAAGCTTGTGATGAATGAGTAACTTTTGTACAAAACAGCAGAACCGTGGTACTGCATGGATAATCAACGTGCGATATCGCTCTCAGATGTTCCCGTCTCGTGGAGATTGACAGTAGACATAATACTGTAAGGACTCATACCGTCAATAAATTGTGACGTTGGTTCCAAAGACGTTTCGGTGTACGCAGAAACCATTCCAGCGGTGAAGTGTTCTACAGTCACCGAAATCAATATCAGCCGCGGGCGGGTTCTCGGCGTTCAATATCACTCCCGTGTTGAGCATTCCGATAGAATGTTGCACCGTGACTGCTGTTGAAGGTTGAACGATGTAATAATGTGTGCGAGATGGACGCCATGGGGCGTCTCGCGGGAGGGGGAATTGCGAATTGCTTCTGTTATTATTTATAAAGTTGATTTCATGTCTCTTTATATATCGATCATGTTAATAACTTTTTAACTAACGTGGGTCTTAAAGAATTTCGCAAAGTATGATGTGATTGGTACCATCGTTTATTGTGAACCCAGTCTTAACTTTGCCAGAGATCTGTTTAAACGTATTCTTTATATTTTCATTGAAAATGAATGAAAATTTGATATATTCATTCCATATATTTGACCTATTACTTGAAATGATTATCTACTACGTTTCATTTTGTTGAAGTAGAAATGAATTTAATCGCAAATTTTGGTTTCAATGGGGTGGGCTATTTAATTCGACTCTTTTGTTCCTTGTTGAAACAGTGATTGCCATGCTCAGAGAATCAAAGAAGGGTACCTCAATGGCCATAATTATTTGTGAATATGTGTGTCAGCAATTCAAACATAGTACCGTTTGCTACGTGGATAATTCTGACGTTTTTATGAGGACGTTGCGTGCTCTCAAGGTCACAAATGACGTCACAATAAACCCGCGTTATGTTTCGTTTTGTGACATGCGTGTTAGGCATTTATTTCTCTGTTACTACAAGCCACTCATTTGTCAACTGTACAATTCACAAACTGCAATGACTAGTTGATGATGTCTTGTCATTACGTTTCATACAGTCCATTTAGAGGCAGATGTCTGAATGTACGTCCATGTTTTCATTTCCCTTGTGATTTACAGTATATACTTTTAAAGGGGCATCGCTGGTTTATAGCCATAACAAATTTCAGGTCACAAGATCTGACTGACTGACTGAGTTTGGTTTTTACGCCGCTTTTAGCAATATTCCAGCAACATCATGGCGGGGAACACCAGAAATGGGCTTCACACATTGTGCCCATGTGGGGATTCGAACCCGGGTCTTCGGCGTGACGAGCGAACGCTTTAACCATTATGCTACCCCACCGCCCCCACAAGAACTGAGTCTATCGGTTAAATCTTCGGTATGTCCATGTCTTTTCTGCAACGATTCCATCTCGTTCCTTCGTACAAATACGCCAAATCATTGGTATTTTTGATTACCTGTAACAGTATGTGTTGTCGAGTTGTATTACTTGACTTCAATTATCACAGTAACGGGCCATTTGATACAGATAAAGGTTAGAAAATTATTCAGAAAAAAATGAATTTTTTACATTATTTATTGGCATGAAAATAAAATTGTTGTTGGCTAAAAAAATGGGTTGATATCTCCTTTCAGAGGAAAAATACATCCGTGTCATAGACAAAAGACTCCCTCCTCCCCTACCTATCAATAACAAAGTCCACATTCTTCGAAATAAAATTTAATTTGCGTTAATCATCTACAATTTTGAATTCTTGGGATCTTGTTTTTAAACAGTAAATTTAGGTTTTAAAAATATAAAAACAATATTAGGGTCTATGTTCTTACACCCACCAGTGCCCCTTTGAATATTGTTGTTTATTTAGACAATCAGTCTGCGAGACAAAGCCTATTGTGACATTCAGACATCTGGAACATCAGGAGGGGAGACTCTGAGAGAGTGTGGGTCTGACTGCGCATGTGTGAAATACCCTCCCTATAAAGACTCCATGCTCAACTTTTTACCAATCATACTACGTTCATTGCATGCATGTGAATACGTGATTAAAACAATGTATCATCCATATTTTGAAAAGAGTTCTAGAATATGTTTAATATGTTTAATAATAAGAATATAATTTATTTTTCTTCATTCTGATAGAGATGTTTATTCTTTATACCTCTAGTCCGATAGTCCAAATCCATCAGTTTTCGTTTCGCAGTCAAACATCGTTTGACGGTGATGGCAATTTGGACTTGGGAGAACTTCCGTTCCAGTCCACTTAAAACAATCTTATTTCTCTGCTACTTACAAGAAAACAGTAACTGTTGCAAAAGGGTAAAAATATTATACTGTTTAAATTTCTTTAACACGCCGACCGAAATTGAAAATTGTATATCATCGTGAATTACCAACAGTATTTGTTGGTTGTTGTCAAGACGGGTTACATCAAAATGTGAAATTCCGGATATGGGGAATTATATAACTTCATTATCGGAACCGAATATAGCATTAAAAAATCTGTCGATGAAGAGAAAAGAGATTGTCTTATGTGGCCTGACTCTATCTGTCTACTGGTTGCCATATTGTTAAGTGAATGAATGTAACTGAAGGATGTGAACCACACAACATGACAGGCCGAGGGGTGGTATATATGAAAATATACGAAAAAAGCTTTAATCATTTTGTCATAACTAAATTTAAGATTTTTTCTGACTCTCGAAACTTCATTCATGACTTCATTTGATAACTATTAAAACTGATCTGGTTTTTTTTTGTCCTATTGTTGAAATTGGTTTAATGTTTTCGATTGAAATCCTCTATGTTCACTGCCGTCACCGCTTCCAGAAATGCACATGCATTTGTTGCAAGCTTTTGTCAAATTCATCTTTGTAATGCATTGTATTGAAAATGTTTGTCATATGTTTCATCATTTGACATATTTCTTTTCTTTTCTATTAAATAATTTCTTTTTTCAGTTTTAAGATTCAAGCGAAATTGATAAAAATGTTTAAAATAAGATCAGTGCATATCCACACATTAACATATCACAGTGTGGGCCCTCTTAATAACCCACTAACAATATCCCACCGTACTTAATTTGTTTATCATTCACGAAATCAAAATAATTTTATAGAGCGTTTTACATTCTGTTTGTAATTTTTCATGTTTATTTTTTATAATTATACCAGCCGGGTAGGATGAATCAAATTCAGTGCTGATGACTTTTTAATATCAGCGAAAACAGTTGGATATGAATCTCAGTGTAAATATATACCTCAACGATGATATATCAATGTATGTATATTATTGGTTAAATTGTACATTACGTACTTACATGATACTGGAACCTCGTTTATACACTATTGGGTGATCTGTCAAATATGTCCTGATTAACCTTACCAGATTTCAGATCATGAAACATTAATATTCATGACATTCGTACGAAAGAGGTTTGGTCTAACAGGATTCCACTTTTAGCGACGTCAGCATCTTTACCAGATTAACAGACAATTAATTATGACATTATGATTTATAAGGAAGTGGAAACAAGATTAACTTAATTCCGTTTAGCAAGGTTCCATTTTTCTAACTTCACAAGCCCCCAAAAGCCGCCGATTGTAAACATTTAAATTTTGTGGCTTTGCTGGCAATGTGTTTGGCCTACGGCCTTGATATGTGAGTTGAATGTCTCGTTATAGTCACGTTACAAGTCCGAGAGTTGAATGTTGCATGCGAGAAGAGAAATTGTGATATTTGGCGTGCAGCTCTCTTACATAGTGTACATTGTTCTTGGTTGAAAGTTGCTTTGCTGTTTACAGGAATATTTGTACGTTTTGTGTTTGTCCCCGTTGCAAGACAATAAACAATGAATTAATATACATATTTAGTTTATTTTATGTTTAGTTGATATAATGTTTTGGTGCGTCAGGGCGATGGGGTATCCTAGTGGTTAAAGCGTTCGCTCGTCACGCTGAAGGCCCGGGTTCGATTCCCCACATGTGTGAAGAATATCTCTTGTGTCCCCCGCCGTAATATTGCTGGAATATTGCTGAAAGCGGCGTAAAACCATACTCACTCAATCACTCTTGGTGCCACATGAGTGAATTATATCGAAGTTGTTTCAAGTAGTCCTGTGCACAGGTTTGTTTGGTTGTTTGTTTGGTAACCCTCAGTATTCCAGCTATTATAATAGAATGACTGACTGACTGAGTTTACTTTTACGCCGCTTTTAGCAATATTCCAGCAATATCACGGCGGGGGACACCAGAAATCGGCTTCACACTATAATAGAATGACCTTTGTCTGTAAATATTTGGGCATGGATAAATAATCAGGTGATTGACATCATGAGCATCATCCTACTCATTTGGGATACGATGACGTGCAACAACCGACCGCCTCCGTGGTGTAGTGGTTAGAGCGTCCGCCCGGAGAGCGGAAGGTCGCAGGTTCGATCCCCGGCCGCGTCATACCAAAATAAGTTAAAATATGGTACTTGTTGGTACCTGCCTGGCGCTCGGCATTAATGGGTACAACAAGGACTGGACTATCACTATAAAACCAGCTTAAGTCTGGGCTAGTACAAGCAGCCTCACATACACATACACATACACATACACACACATGCACGTCGTCATATGAGCGAAATATTCTCAAGCACAACGTTAAACCCAATTTCACCTCACCTCACGTGCAACAACCAAATCAGTCTGTCTGGCCACCCTATCCCACTGGTCGCCTCTTACGATAAGTAAAGTGGCAAAGGGCACAGGTGAAGTTAAGCAACGCTGGTGGCGGATTGAGTGAGTGAGTTTAGTTTTACGCCGCTTTTAGCAATATTCCAGTCATATCACTCGCAGGTGACACCAGAAATGGGTTTCGCTCATTGTACACAAGTGGGGATCGAACACGGGTCTTAAAGCGACGGCATTAACAACAAGGCTACCCCTACTGGTGGCGGAGAGTAGTTGGATGGGTGACTGTGTTGGCAGAAGAGCTTCCACTGATTCGGCCGATACTGTAGCACTTGTAGCACATGATGCACGTGTGTAATATGTCGCTGTTTATGCAGCAGTCGAAGGGTACCCGATAGGATGCGATGGTAATGATTGTTAACCTTCTCGGGCAATTTTTATAATGCCCAGGGGAGCTGAGAATCAAAAGTGTGTATCCTGTAGTGACGTTAAAAGATGCTACTTGTTTTGCTTCTGCCTGGCGGTCATCTTTCCGGGAACACAACAAGGACAGGACGGTACGGAGGCTGTGTACTGTAAATAGGTGTGGTATCCATGTGAAACCTTGATACGGTGTCTCCGTTGACTAGCACAAGCAAAGCCGGCACTGGTCCTGCATAGAACAAGCAGCTCCGCACACACACGCACGCACGCACGCACGCACGCATACACACACACTCTCTCTCTCGTCGGAATAAGTACTATACTAGTACTACTTCAACAGCAACTCCACCAGCAGCAACAGCAACTACTACTACTAGTAGTACTTCTACTCTACTACTTCTACTACTACTACTTCTATTTTAGCTCATCCACTAACACCCACTACTACTACTACTAAAGTACTGTCGGAAATAGAAAAAAACCTGTATTTTCTCATTCATCTCTGGAAATTTAAGTAGTTGATATGTGCAAGTGTGAAATATCTGTTAAACTAAGTTCGGCCTACAGTGGTAGGGACATAGGAAACGTAGAAAAAGGACTTTACTGGGGAGAGATTCGTGCAGAAATGAGCAAAACGATTTATTTGGAACAGACCATGACTTTATGCAAATGATATTGTATTACAAAGGACACTTTTAAAATGCCCAATTTGAAATTAGACTTAGCTTCATTATAAACGATAGCTGGCGTAAAAAATAATATCTTTCATGCTGAAACTATTAAGGATGAAGCTACCATGGAGTCTCACTGTCACTATAAAAAGAAACAGGTAGGAGGGTTCGTCTCAAAAGTACAACCTGGTCGGGTGTCGCAGACGATCGTTGGGGTCGGGGTGGGGGATAGAGATATCAGCTGAGATAAGATAATCCTTTTGGGCAGTTATACTGGGGAAGTACACGGCATGTCATAACAATTTACAAATAATATCCAGTTCTGTCGATCTTCGCGATCGGGTGGTCATGCCACCTTTATCCAGCCCTATGTAAGAATGTTGAGTTTGGATGGGTTCACGTGACTCTGATAAAATACCATGTACACCCGTCACGATCCGCGAGCAGGGAGTACAAAAGTATATTATCCCGCCACGCCTCGGTGACCACGCGAAGTGAGAAAAGCGTGCATCGCCAAGCCTTTAGTAACGTGCGCTGCACTTAGGTCAATCGATCAGCTGGTGTCAACATGGCAGCAAGGAAACGTTTTGCCACAACAACTGAGAATGAAATTGAAGCAAAACATTTTAACGTTGTTATAAGGAACACCAAAAGGGCCAATGACATCGCAGCAGAATTATTACGGGACTACTTGACAGAAAAAGAAATGGACCCTTACTTTAAACATTACGAAGTGGGACGGCTGAATGCCACGTTGCGACCCGTCTACATGGACATTAGAACAAACAAAGCCGTGATATATAAAAGTTCTACCCTCGACACCGACCGATATGGTCTGAACAGATATTTGAAAGGTCCCCCCCCAAAATAGAAATTTTGACATAATAAAGGACAGTGAGCTTAATGGGGCCAATGAGTGTTTCAAAACTATGAAATTAGAAACAAAAGCAGCTGGAAAGGGGGATACAGAGCACAAAAAAATCATTGTAGAGGCTGACAGACGGAAACTGAATGAAGGGTTTTAAAAAACTGAAAACTCCCTTCGATTGAACTTTGACTCGTGACCGTGACCCGTAATCTGTGAACCGTGGCATCTCACATAAATAAAAACAAGTCGATTCGATGCGTATTGTTTTCTTTTCATTTAGTAAAAACATTCGGCTAGATAAATGCGTTATCACATCGTGTCTCGGGAAATACGCCGGAGGAGAGGGGAATACAACCTTACTCGGGACTGATAAAACCCCGTATTTCCCTCGACACGATGTGATAACTTATAATATATTTTGAGACATTTAATACGATGCGTTTCTATGTTATCAGGTATCATACTCTTTTACACATCTCAACATAAACTTCATGAAAGAAAGACACGTAAGATGTTAATCAATAGATGAGGCATAGTCAACACACATGAAAAAGCACAAAATATCTTTCAGATGACCCCTTGTGCCTATAAGCAGCACATGCATTTCGTGCCAGGTGAGTCAACGGTTCGTCTTCATACCTTGCCATCTATAGTCTGATCTATTGTTTTCAGCATTTATTCGTATTTTTTCTAAGTTTTGCCCGATTTTACGAGTAAACATGCTTTTCTGGATATCCTATTACGCATCCCACTGAATGCCCAAGTTAGGCCGAAGTGGGTTGTTTCGACATATATGCTATTTGCAATTGTGTAAATATTAGGGATACAGAGTAACAGCCTAAAAACATTTTTTTCTATTTCCGACAGTACTTTAATTCGTAGAACTACCTTACTTGTTTACATTTAGGCGTGGTCGGATAGCCCAAGAAACGTGTTCGATTCCCAACATAGGTACAATCTGTGAAGCCCATATTGCTGGAATATTGCTAAAAACGGCGTATGCAGGAATATTCCGGCTAAGGCGATTGAGACGGTTGGGTGTCACGCCGCTTTTAACAATATACAGGACACTAGCATTCTAGATTTATCAGCAGCCTGTAAATAACTCAGGCAACAACGACAACAGCCTACGCCATCGGCAGACGATGAGAACGCGTACAAGCCATGTCACCGAACTGTCGGATCCAGGATTTGCAAGTGTACGTGTGTTCGCGTGTTTGCGTGCGCGCATCCGTGTTTATATTTTTGCATGTGTGTGTACGTACGTGCTCGCATATGTGAGAGTGCGTGTTCTTTTGTGTGTGTGTGTGTGTGTGCGTGCGTAAGTTTGTGTACATGCGTGGGCGGTTGTGTGTGATCAGATCAGCGAGTAGAGGAAATGGCAGACAGTATGGGATCTGCTCGCTCCCCAGAAGCCTTGAGAATTTTCTCTATCCTGCCATTAACCCACGTCCGCCCCCACGGGATCAACTACCTGTAATCAATCACCCAAGGGATTAACACAACGGCTGGCTTTGTAATACAATCATACCTCCAAGATAAATAGTCAACTCGTTAAGGGTCAGGTCGGTGACTAGGTGAACGAATCGGGGTCTTCTCGTTTATCCACCACCTATTGTTCTAGGTGGACAAGTCACTGAAGCCGAATCATTTTAAATTCGAAACATCTTTTTATTAAAAAAACCCCTGATTACTGATTCCATGCCTGGGGCTAAACTAATTTCTTTCTGCAGTTTCGGCATTAAATCATCAGATAATCCTGAGGAACAGACGCATGCAGTTTACATCATTATATTGAACATTGATGTGTCGAACTTACGTTTTCTTGAAGTAACAACTTGGTAACTGCGCATTACTCACATAGTCACCCTTTGTTTTGCTCGGCCGATCCTCGACGTATTTTCGTCAGTCCATTCGAGTTCGACACATCGGTGCTTGCGTTCACGAACGTGGATGTTAGGAATAAATGAGTATGGGAAAGAAAACCGATACATTAATACCGGTCTGATCCAATACTGAAGTGGGCACAGGTGGTCCAGTGGGTCGTCTAAGGAGTGGCTGTGCAGAGTTGCAGAGTTGCGTCCCATGGTCCTCAGTTCGAGTCCCAGCACATGCCCGTGTTTGCCTCAGAGTATCTACACAACACAGTTCATCCCTTCCAAAAATGCTGACGTACAAAAGATAGTACAAACCCAGTGTTTCAGGAAGAATTTAAAAAACAC